TTAGGCCCACTCACTTCCACAGAAGTTCCCATGGGCAGTATGCTTTTGAAAACAATGGTAAAATAGTATTAACAATTATAATAGTAAAAATTCTATTATTATTATTATTATTATTAAGTTAGACAGAGAAATAAACTCAAAGATTAAAGTCTTAAAGCACTAGATTCTAAGGCTGTCGGCTAGTCGAGATCTTTTGCTTTCGGCCACACAGGCAGGCATTTTCATTTTAAATGTATTCTTCATCCGTTTCAATTATTATTATTATTATTATTATAAATTTAGCCAGAGAATAAATTCTAAGACTAAAGTCTTAAAGCACTAGCATCTAGGGCTATCGGCTTTTTTATTAAAAAACTCTACCGCACTTGAGGTTTGAACCCACGACTATTGAGTTGCTAGTCGAGACTCTTGCCTACTCGGCCACTCAGGCGGATGTCATCCGTTTCAAATCTCCAATAAAGCAATAAAAATAATTGTTCATAATAATATGCCGGGGTCAATACTTTTTTGTTGCTATGCAGAAGATTACTGAGTTTGAAACGTTAAAGCAATATAGCGGGCAATGATGATCTGTTCGATATACCAAGACGAAGAACAAATTAAAAGTATCGCTTTGAACACACTAGGGCCTCCTAAAAAAGACATGTGGGCATGGCAGCGGCCGAGACATAGATTGTAGGTAAAGAATGAGCAAAGATGCTCCACGACTGTCAAGTTGGGTTAATGTCTAATAGGTTCAACATGGTTTACGCAAATTTCAACTGCAACTGCTGTGTTGGTAGTGAAATTTATTCCCTGTGCACACGTAAATAGGATTAAGTGCATCTCTTTTCTATTGCTATTTCATATCAGTTATGCTCATGTTACGATCTCTCGTTATTAGTTTAGAATCGATCTTAGCATCAAACGGGCGAAGGAGGTAAAAGACGTCCGTGCTTAAATAGATTTATGAAAATTTTTAAGTAAATATAAGAACACTTTTCATCCAATGATAGCGAGTATCCTTGATATTGAGTAGCAAATCAAAATTTGTAACTAATCTAACGGTGTATCGTATAAGTGGTCGAGATATTGAGCACAGGTGTTGAATATCTTACGCAGGTATTAATAAAAATGTCGATATTTGATTTTGTTTGACAAAGCAAAGCATTATTTTATGTTATGCATTTTGTGTGAAGTCAATCTGTTTTCATCACAAATTCGTATTAGAGTGCAAACACAACGGGTGCATTATGCGTTTTGTATTGACGCATCAACAGACAAAACGGTGTTGCATTTAAGGAAAACAAAACCAAATCACAGGGTTGATATTTTAGGCTTTAAAATAGTTGTTTGCATTTTTAAAAACTAACAAATAAAACAAAATTGAATAAATTATGAAAAAGAAAAAAGTTAATTGGTTGAAAAAGAGCAATGGCAGAGCAGCTAGTCAATCCAGTGTACAAAAGACAAGAATTGCATAACAAATGTTTCCCAGATTTGCAGAATAAAGTGGTGAAAGAAGCAGCCAGTGAACCTATGCTCACAGAAGTGGATGTGTTCAGCATATAATATAATATCAAAGATGTGTTCTACTAGTTATTCTTGAAATATGGAAAATGAGATGGAGGTCGCTGAATGATCACTTCATTAGTTACTACAATTGGGGGGAAGGCACGGCGTTTTCACGAGGTGCCATCCCTTCTCAAATCGTCAAATGAAATTTCTACTACGGTATGCTCTTTTTGGGCGATTCCCTTGTTTCTTGCAGAACTGGTTGAAAGTCCACCATCTCCTTGTGGAAAGAGACTTGACCCTAAATTCGAAATGAATATTTATTCTAATGTTTTCCTTATGTAATATTATAAAAATTTTTATAATTTCTTATAATAATTTTGCAAAATATCATGCAGTTGAAGTGCAGTTTTCCTAGCTCTGTTTACCGTTGTCGGCAAACTCCTTCCTTTCCGCAATGGTGTTGAGTTCTTTCCACTCCGATAATCGAATTTTTACCTAGCCGTTCACTTGGGCATCCCCTTTTGTATCTTTTATATTTGGGGGCGTCATTTTTATTATCATAATCCAAGCAATTAAATCGTCCCTAATCAGACACTCTTTCGTTCAAATGTTTTGGCATAAATGTGCGAGCACGGTGATCATGAATGAATGAAAATTACTAATTAATTATATGAATATGATATTATTAAGAATTGTGCAAACAGGAAGAATTAATATTGTTATCTCCTTCCAAGAAATCACTTTTTTTTCCTTTTCTTTTCATATGATTTATTGTTTTAGCAAAGCAAGCAAGCTATGGGTGCAACTGATTTCAATTGTTGTTTTCGGCGCTTAAGAATAAAGAGACCTCATAATATCAGTTACTTTTGGTGTGCTTTCAAAGGATAACCCAATCAATTTAGCAATTTATTGTCAATAATGCCAGCACTCGCTGATGCAGTCAAAGAAATACGAAGGACATTGGAAAACTTTAAAGTATCTCGATTTTATAGATATAGAGAAAATAATTATCAGAGCCCGATTATAACTGGAATTAAAAGCGGATAACAAAAATAAATGCTACTCTGCATTGAATGGAAAATATAACCGACGAACAATGTTATACGATTTATAGATATGAGTAAACTTTAATTTCTGATTCTGATTTTTTATTTTTTTTTCTTAAAAACTCCTGATTACCTAAGGTTTCAGGGAATGAGCAAAGCGTAAGTGAATCGTTCAACTTAATAAATATTGTTGGAGAGATGATGGCGAGAGAAGATGTATGAGATGAAATAGTTTAACAGATTCGTTATATTAATGTTGACAGATAGACAAATAGACAGCTTCAAGAAGAAGAAGAAGAATAATTATTATATGCATCACAATTACAAACCTGCTAAGGACGATTTCATGACTAACATAATAACATAATTGATCAAAGTTCATTCGCTATATAAAAAAGTAATGCGTTTTATTTCACATGTCTCTAGGCAACCTGAGTCATTTTCACGCCAACCTGTTATTTATATAAAGCTAGGGGTCTTCTTGCGGTTTATTAATATAAAATATTTATCACATCTATTAGGAAAGTGTATGAATAAGTTTTAATGTTTTAAACTGAAATCATAATCATAAACTATAACATAAACGGTAAGCATGGATACGCTTTCAAAAATACAAATGAAAAAATGATGTTTTGCACTTGAACAATGCAGATAAATGTTTGCTGCACAGAAGTATTGTGATTGGTGCAAAAAAATAAATATCTAAAGTTACAGTGATTGAAATAAAGCCAATAGCATCACAATGACTTGAGCAAGATGTTAAGCAGCAAAGAAAACTACGAATAAAACAAAAGCAAACAATTTCATCTATGTATACATAGATACATATATGTATGTACTTGCTGCTGCAGGAGCGGAGCGCCTTAATCAACGACTCTCTTTATGTGTAGTCTATGTAGAACTAAATAAATAAATAAATATATATATATATATATATATAGGTATATTTGCGGATATATATTATGCAAGTCAAAAACGCAAACAAGCATTTCCACGAAAACTAGCCCAACCTTTTCTTTCTCTCTTTGTGGTTTAAACACGTAAAATATGAACTGAAAAGCTTCAAATTGAAACTTGGCTTCTTTAAATAGTATAAACGCATATTTTCATTGTGCACGTATGTGCAAGTATATATACATATATATATATATATATATGTATATGCAAGTATATATATTTATTATAAGTGTAAATGCACATACGGGCGTGCGTTTGTATGGGGGACATGTAGCTTGGCTACAAAAAAAAAATTAAAATAAAAAAAAAAAAAAAAAAAAGAAAAAGAAGAAGAGAAAAGACAAAGAGACGTGCCAACGTACACAAAAAGCAAACAACAGCTATTAGCACTAGCAACATACAAGAAAAGTTAAAAACAAAAGAATAAAAACAGAAAAATAGAAACAAAAAGTTTAATTTTGGAAACGTTTTAATACCATGCCTTCTGTTCTACTTATTTATCTGTCGTATATGAAAGACGATGTTTCTCATAATCAACATAAATAAGCAGCGAACAAAAGACTCATTTTATTTTAGTTCAATGCTATTTTACTCTTTCATAGGCAAGTCATTGTTTTGAACACACCTCTCAATGGTGGTACAATGTTCATAAAGGCTTGAATGCAAGTTAAACAAAGGACTATGGCTGGCTACATAAAGCAAGCAAATAAAGAAATACATGCTATTGCCTCGTACAAGTGACAGAAGAGTCGAAAGATAGTATCTATAGCGGTAAAAACACAATGCGCACCAAATAACAGGCTTGTGTGTGCGCTCTATTCGCGCCCTTCCCTCTATTAACAGAACAGTAATTCTATTTCACTTATACGTTTTGATGATGCTTTAAATGCTTTACCCCATATATATATATATATATATATATATATATATAGATATATATAAATATATATAGATATATATAACGTATACTTATACTGTTGTGCGATTATTGCTTTTTCACTCTTTCATATTGTACTTTGTTAGTAAATTATCAGGGTTTCTTATTTTAATCATGGTCTTAATTGCTGAGAGTTACACGTATTTGAGGCAAACGTAAAAATTCAGATGCATTCGCTCTCTCTACGTTAAGCATTTTGTGAAATTTACGCATGACGATGACGATAGGAGAGAGAATGGGCAAACAAAGCAGTTTTTACTGGAAATTATTTAGTCCAGGTCGTAATAATACTGAGAACTTGTGTTATTAAATCAGTTGCCTCAGTTGCCTCAGTTGCTTAATAACTGTTGAGATGAATAGAGGTGTGATAACGTGAAGGAAGATAATTATTATATACATATATACACACATATATATCTATATATATATATATATATATATATACATACCTATACAAATATATATATATATATAAATATATATATATTAAGGTATGTGCAGTTTCGTACATATAAATATATATACATGTATTTGCATGCAGAATTTTTTGAAATAAGGCAACAATAGATAAAACAAACAAATAAATACATTAAACGTTTGTGTTATCGTGAAAAATATTAAATAAGAAGTTAATAATTGCACTTATGAAGTAAAACATCAAACATCGCAAGCATCGCTTAACGAGAAAGAAAGAAAGAAAGAAAGAAAGAAAGAAAAAAAAAAAAAAAAAAAAAAACAAATAGAAGACAAAACAAAAGTTAATATCTAGGAGATATGACTGCCATGTCAGCACATTCAAATTACGGCTTTCATTTAAGTCAAGGCATAAATCTATCCACGCCGGCAGATTATGCTCCGCAAAGTTCCATGACTTGCAGTGATATGGACATTAAACGAGTGATGCAATTTTCGCAGACTAGTAACTTAGCAGCAATTTCAGCAGTAATGGGAGCTTCTCCCGTGGGCACTCATGGACCTTGTAACAGTAATAGATTCATGGGCGGTGTAAGCCATTTAGACAATCAAGGAAATAATCATTCGTTGTTGAATAACAGCAGTTTGAGTAGTGTGCAAAATACCGTCGGTCACCAAACTTTATCACCAAATTCCTCAGTAGGCAGTCAAAGTTCTGTAGCGTCCATTAATTCGAATAATCATGACTTACTTGGAGCACCAATTTCTAATAGCGAACACCATCATCCATCATCGCCGGGACAAGAAGGTCATATTAAACGGCCTATGAATGCCTTTATGGTCTGGTCGCGTTTGCAACGTCGTCAAATTGCTAAAGATAATCCTAAAATGCACAATTCAGAAATATCGAAACGCTTAGGAGCCGAATGGAAATTATTAGCTGAGTCGGAGAAGCGACCGTTCATCGATGAGGCCAAACGTTTACGGGCATTGCATATGAAGGAGCATCCAGATTATAAATACCGGCCACGACGTAAACCTAAAAATCCATTAGTAACTGGTTCCCAAGGAACATTACAGTTACAAGGCGCGGTTCAACAAAAGCTCGGCACAAGTAATAGCGCTGGAGTAAATTCATATAATGCATTCCATCATTATTTTGCACCTACACATCATCTTGATCAGCCGTATCCAGTGCCATATTTTGGAGGCTTCGATCCGTTGGCCCTTTCTAAATTACATCAATCTCAAGCAGTGGCCGCTGCTGCGGCAACAAATCAAACACACAATGCATTAGATGCCCAGAAAGCTTCGCAACTCCCACCAACAACTCTTAGTCTCTATTCCGGTATTTATTCTGGCATTCCGACACCTTCACTTTATGCGGCTCATTCCGCAAATGCTGCAGCTGGCTTATACAATTCATCCTCGACATCTTCACCTGGCTCTTCACCTGGAAATGTAACACCTAGCGCTACGGATAGTGTAATTGATAACGCATTAAGGAGGCCAGTACCCGTTCTATATTAAAAGCAAATACGTATTATTCTGTACAGAGATGGTTTTAAATCTATATCTCTTACCACCCACCACCACACCATAAATAGATCAAAACACACTAACAGATTGGATGGAATGCGAGAGTTAGATCTAATAATAATTTAAAGAAAAGTCTACTTGTTTGTACGCCCATAACCTTAAATCTTAACTGAAGACGCGTCGGTAGCTAAGCTACTTTAAATGGTGAATACGTGTCCGTACTTCGATGTGTGCCAAATTTTTTATAGACGTTTGCAAGAATAGTAGGATTGTTGGGAGGTTTAACAGATACCGGTTCAAAATTCACTTCAAAATTTACGCAGATCAAAGCATTTAATGTACACTTAAGGGTCTCAATTATATAAACGAGCATAATAGGAGCACCAAAGGACTCTCTAATCTCTAAAAATTGTTTGTAAGTCTATAATTAACCTTATAAGCGAGCAATAATTCGACTGCCTGATCTCCGCAGTGGTCCTCTTAGTACATTGTTTTTTTGTAAATTATTTCAACAACAACAAGTACGAAAGAAATACACTAATAATAACTGAAGTCGAGTTGTTCCATTTTCATTATTGTTAGTCAAAATTCTATCATTTGATAATTGATTTTATTTTAGATAATGATTGATATTTAAAAAAAAAATTTGTACCTTTCGAGTTAAATTTCTGTTAAAATTTTTATCGGTCAAAACTCGTCAAAAGTTTGTGTCATCTAAGCGTTTAACGGCGTTAAACGTTGCTTAGTCAAACGAACAAAATCGTGACTACATTGTATGCGGACTATAAGAGAAAACAAGAAACCTATCTACCTACCTAACCATTGTAAACCTAAAACGTAACCTAATATAATATAATATAATAACCGCGGTAGACAAGCCAAATATCGAAATGCGAAAATGTGAGGAGAGAGGCTAGTAAGTGTGGTTGAATGACAACAATTTAAAAAAAAATTTATCTTTGTTTTCGAAAGAAAATTTTATAGATCATCACGTAGCGATCACAAATGGATACTAAGGCAGAGATATTTTAAATTTCCTTTACTTGATTGCAAAGAGATGAACTCTAGTTCTCGGGGGGGCAATAAACCGGATAACTTTTCCCCGATAAAGTTCAGTTCATTTTCATTCTTCATTATAAGAATTTCATATTTTTGTGTTATGTAACTTGAGGGATACTCTGATTTGCAGTTAAGATCGATTAAACAGCTAAAAAAATATTTATATGAAACCGAAGAATTAGATGAAAAATGCAAGGATTTCATTTCTTTCCTTTTTTCCTTTTCTTCTTTCTTATCAAAACTCATTCATTCATTCAGGCAATCGAATGAATGCAAAAAAAAAAAAAAAAAAAAAAAAAAAAAAAAAAAAAAAAAAAAAAAAGAAAAACAAAAAGGAAAGGAAATATAAGGTGTACGTGTGGCACAATATATGTAAATGTATGTTTTAGGTAATTTTAAGCTCAGTTTATTGAAATAAATATGTAAGTATAGTACACACATATATATATATATATATATATGTATATGTATATCGTATATCGTTTGTTGTTTGTTTTCAACATGGTCCTGTAAAACATTCTCGAATTGTAAATATGTGGAATATTTTAAAATGAAATTATTTCGAATATGATAATAAAATAATAAAATGCTCCACGGTTTTTATTTTCATTAAGAGCTTACGAAACTATTTACTGAAAACATTCCCGTCGATTGCTTCAGTTTTATAAAGTCATGTGATAAGATGTTATGAGCTTATTACTGTTACGTATACTATTACTATGCGATAATTGTCAAAGTGCTCGTAATGTTTTATGTTGTGCTCACCTTTTTATAGCAACAATTTGGAAATGTTTTTTTTTTTTTTGTAAAATTTTGTAATATTTTTTTAAAAATTATATACTTTTCAACTCTCCTGTTATCCAACAACTATTAGATAAATATTTAATATGTATGAACATCATCTAGGTTATACAATGCGAACGTTGATTGTAATGAGTCGGACGGGTTAGAAGCGGATTAATAATTTTATTGCAATTTATTACTTATTCCATATGGAATCAATTTGAGCAAATGCAAATGCTTCGGTAAAAGAATCTGTATTGTATAGTACCTGAGAGCAATTTGCGCAAAAAAAAAAAAAAAAATGTATCCTTAAAATTATGTCAGTGTAATTTGTGGCGAAATCTTTATCGAAAATCGAAAAATATATATATTGAATAAGTAATGTTTAATAAACAATATCAATAAAACAAAATTAAATAAATTCGGCTTAGATCGAATCTTTTCTTTACTATAACTCCATCCTAATATGAAAGTATATTATGTAGATATATGCATGTATATCGAGTGGGAAGGAGATCTCGAAAAACGCCTACAACCTTACAAAAAAGAAAGACATTTACTGTGTTTATCTATCAATTTGTCGACCCGTCATCGATTGGATGAACAGTTACAGTTGGCCAAAAAAATCGAATAGAAAAATAGAAGGTAGAACTTGGCATCGCAAATCGTTAGCTTACATCGATTGATCAAATTTTGTAGGAGAACATGATCTGGCCGTAAACACTGAACATCTGAAACGATTTTTTAAGTTCTTATTTTAGTTCCATTTTGAAACGATCTTTTCCAAATCTTAGCTAACAATTTTCCCGAATTATTTTAATGTCCACAACTGACCCATTCAGTATATACAATATTTTTAGCGCGTCCTAGCACTAGAACTACTGACGTTTCGCATCTTCCCTTATTACTATCGTAATTGCAACAAAACAGGTAGAAAGGTGAATTTTTACACAAATATTTCTTGATCGATTAAGAATCCAACGTTAAAAAATAGTTATGATCGGTTCACGTGTATGCTCGCAATAAATTGACCACTTAGACCATTTTCGAATATGACTTTTGATCGCAGAAATGTATTTGGGAAAATCGGCTGTCAGAATCATCCAAATATTCCGTCCAAAAATGATCGCAAAACGATTCTCTAATACGTATGCACTTAGCTATAAAATTTTACTTTCATTTTGTATGTAATTAGGTGAGAGAGATGCAAAACATACGTTAGGATAAATGGGATAGGGAATTGAAACTACAATTTTAACGTTAATTGGCAGTACGCCGATCGTTCAGATCAAAATGATAGATTTTGCAGTTGTAGTGTTAAGAGAAGATTAAGATATTCTCGATGAGAAAAGAGTTTGATTTTTTCTTTTTTTGTTAGTTATTTGAAAATAAATAAAAATCGAAATAATAAGTTTTGAAAATTGTCAATTGTTGGTGAGTCTATGCAAAATTTATGTTGGGCTTAAACTGATGCTCGCCAAAGACGGATTTTGTGGCTTGAAGTGAAGTTTTGATTGTTTTCTTTTTTTTTTTGTTTTATAGCGATCTCAAAAAAGATGGATAAACAGATGGACCCTTGAGCTCTTCTATTCATATTGATCAGGTATAAAAAATGCTTTGATTAGGTACCTGTGGCAAATTTAGTCCCGTCATTTCACATAAATTGTATATCATTGCTAGCACTAACTTTAGCAATTTCCTTGCTTTTGTATATGTTTAGCAATTCGTAGGCAATTTGAAGCTAGATCCGCATTTTGAAACTTGATTCAAACTGAGAGCATTTGTCAAGTGAAAGGCAGTTCGTATCTTCTTCTTTTATTTTCCTAACTATTTAATATTTCTTTAGGAACGGATCTTGCTAAGCGCAAAAAAAAAGGCAAGTCAAAGAATGCAAATTTTTTTGGATGGTCTTATAAGTAATTGTAAGCCTGCTTGGACGGATCGTATATATTTTCAAATAAAAAAAAAAAAAAAACTGAAGAAAATAAGAAGAATATATAAGATATATATCTCGCCGATTCAGATGTTCCCGCTTTCGAATCGAACACAAACACTACTCCATCTTTACCCTTCCACTATCTATAACATTTCCTGGCTACGACCTGTACCGTGCCTATACCGTATACGGCACAACAGCGCAATGGATGGGTAAAGAGAAAAATTGTTTTTCAGTTATGATCTACGGTTATAGAATTTAAAACTGATCTTTTATGAGATGTCGAACGCGCATAAAAATCAGTAAATCACGCGCCAGTGATGAGCGTATTAGTAGTAGTAGTAGTAGTAGTAGTAGTAGTAGTAGTAGTAGTAGTA